CACACCACATAATACTGTTTTGGTATACTATGGTTTGGGATACTTCAGTGCGATATGCAATGAAGAGGCAGTGAAGAAAGGAACAGCTCAGCAGTCACGACACCTTTTAAAAGAGAAGATATTGTGGATAAGCAAGGTAAAAAGGCGTCAGTGGTACTTTCTGCAGTATAAAATCGGACATGTTTACTAAAACATAAGTATATGCGGAATTTATACTGATTACTAACTTTTGGGCGTCATAAAATGGCTCATTAATATTTTAGCCGTGCTACTAAACTGCTTAGCATAAATAAACGTCCGTATAGTACCGAAAAGCTGCCGTCCAGACGTTTCGCCCTTCACCTGAAGCCCTGGTCATTATTGAGCATGCGTGGTATAATATCGATGTGATATCGCCCAGCCCTAATTAAAAAGCTCCGGTTCACTAAGGGTTAGGGTTACAGCAGCGATAGCCTTTTTATCAACAAGGGAAAATAATAGTTTTAAAAGTAACACTTACCAAACAAGGTCTGATGACTAGCTTTGATGAGGTAATAATGTGGGCGCATGGTGACTCATTGGGTAGCAATGTCATCCCAAACCTCCTCATTTGGGGGTTGACGTCCCATCCTACGTATGTGAAGCTTTTTCTCTGGGTCCTCCAGTTTCTATCTGACTGTGTGAATGTGCCCTGCGATGCCATCTGGGATGAACCCCTGGCTTACGCTCAATGCCCCCTGGGATAGCCCACCCCTCCCCCCAAACCACATTCTCCTACAGAGACCAATATAAATAGCAGCAGCTAAATGGTTACAAGTCATAAACCAGCTCCTCCACTGATGCATATGGAGATACTAATGTGAACGCCATCACAGACAGAAACCTGCTCTCTCTCATCAGACTAACACACCAGAACAGGAAATTCCTGTACAGCCTAGTTCCTAGACAGACCCGCAGAAGGGTCATATGACATCACATCTGGCAGATTTACCCTCCCGCCCCGGCCGCCTTGGTTTACGATGGGGGCGGCCTGGTCTTCACCCACCTTGAACATGCTGGGCTCCTTTATGTCCAAGCGTGCCACATTCCACTGCTCGGCCGTCAGCTTCCTGTGCCGGGGCCTGGATCCCGACCGGCCAGGGGCCGCCAGCCACACGACGCCGATGGCCAACATGAAGCCGAGGGCCACGCCCAGCAGCATCCCACCGACGTAGGTGGGCAGGGGTAACACGAAGTAGCCATAGATGGCGATGGTGAGGGCAAGCAGGGTGGCCTGGGGGATGGCAGGCGGCGGCTCCTCCTCCTCGACTTCGTCGCTGCCACGGGCGCCCGCGCCCATGCTCGCGGTGGCGCTGACCCGGCGGGCAGAGGGAGAGGCGGGCACCACTTCCTCCTGCCCATCCCCATCAGTCTCTGTGTCGGTGTTCACCTCGAAGTCCTCGCTATACAGCTCGCAGAACTCCTCGTCCTCCTGCCGGGCCAGAGCCGACATGGAGCACTTCTCCAGGGCAAACGTGGTCGTCCGAGGGCCCGGGGCCCCGGCTGTGGGGGCCTCCTCGCCTGCCAGGCACTCTCCTTCCGAGTCGCACTCCTCCTCCTTGATGCTGTAGTTGTTGTTACTCTCTAGGTGCCCGTTAATGCTGGCCAGGTTGCAGAGCTCAGAGGCGCTGGAGGACAGTGCCTTGTGCCTGGGGCCGCTTGAGGCCCCGCTTTCGTCGCCCATGATTTTGCTGAGCAGCTGCAGGGGCTCGTACATGACCTCGGAGAGGCGCCGCTTGGTGTCCTCGATGCGTGCCTCCACCTCCGACACCTTGAAGAAGGAGCGACTGTCCGGCGACGTGAGAGGCGAGGATGGTGCCGTCTTGGAGTCGCCCGCCACGGTGACCCGCGGCTGAGCGAACGGCTTGAACAGGTGCAGGTTGAGGCGCGAGTCCGGCTGGCGGTAATGCACGACGTCCGGCTCCTGCCGGGAGGTGTCTGTGGACAGTGACTTCACCAGCGTCTTCATCAGATGCCGGTGGCGCACGGTGGGGGGTGTGGCCAAGCCCTCCCGAGGCTCTGCTTCCGTGGACAGGGACTTTACCAGGCTCATTAAGGGCTTGTCGATGGAAGGCAAGGCCGATTTGTAGGGGGAGGAGCCCGAGGAGGCACAGGAGGGGGTGGGAGGCGGGGCTGGCGTCTTCTGTCCCGAGGGCCAAGAGGAGCTGACCGTGGTAGAACTGCAGGGGGTGTCAAAAGAGCTGGCCAAAATGGAGAGGGCGGGGCTCTGGGAGTGGGGAGCCGACTGCTGGGGCCCGGAGACAGGGGGGAGCGTGGTGGAGGAAACTGGCAGCACTGCCGCTTCGCTCAAGGGGACTGAGGAGTCCGAGCCGCTCCCCTCAAACTGGAGGTCCTCGCAGGCCTCCAGAGCCGTAACTACGCCGTGGGATTCATAATCCAGGCCCTCGGCAGCGGAAGTGGACGTGCCGACCCCATAGAGCTCATCCTCTTCCTCCTCTTCCTCCTTGCCGAGGGCGGAGAAGTGGATGGTGATGGTCTCCCGCGACAACGAGCGCTGGACCTGCAGCTTGGGCGCGGCGGCCGGCCGTGTGGACACGGGACCCAGTCTGCCGGCATGGCTGCTGCTCCGGGCAGTCATTGCAGTGCCGCGAACCCCCGGCAACCTGGGAGGGAACAGGGAGGAAGGGCGGGGCTTAGAACAGGCCTCTCACACTGCAGCCACCATGATGCACATGGTCTGCCTTTCGTCACTCAACTGCACATCGCGACAGTATCACTGCAGCCATCGTTTGGCTGCCACCTGGTGCATCTACTCATTAGCGAAATCGATCTCCAACCACAGCAGAAGATGTGCAAGACAAGCTTCATAAAAACTGTCACTAACTGGAAAATGATTAGTTTTGTTCTCACACTATTTCCTGTAAGCTTTCAAAGCCTTTCATTATCTCTTTTCAGAACAACAGAAGCAAGCAATTCACTTGACTCCTACATTTTTAGTCAGAGGTTTCAGAAAAAAATAGAAGCAATAATAGGCTAATGTTACAATGTTATACATACACCAGGCAAATGACAACCGATCTGGATGTGCTAATGATAAACAGAGATGATTCATCGAGCCATTAACCTATTTTTCCTAACTGCTTATTCAGTGCAGAGCCGAGGACAAGCCAGTCATGTCAGGACACACACACACACAATGGGGAATTTCACCAACTCATAGCACACTGGGAGAATGCAGCCAGATACAACATTTCAAGCCTGGTTTCCTAAACAAATACAGTAAATGCAGTTTACAACAAAAATTTCGCAACAGTTTCACCTGCATGCCACAATAATCCATAAATCAGGAAATAAAGCAGAAATGTCAGTGTGCGCATGACGTGGGGAGCCTGAACAATGTTTCTGAAACTGGTCCCCACAAGGTAGCTAAACCTATCCACAACACACACACACCATTCATTTCTATGGGCAAAACCCTAATCCAAACAATGACAACCTTAACCGCTACCCAGCCCTAACTTTAACCATAAGTAACCAAACAAAACATAAGACTTTTGGCATTTTTAGTTTTTTTGATTGCCGTTACATTTTTAGAAAACAGAGTTTCTCCTTGTGGGCACCAAAAAGGTGGTCCCCACAATGTCAAAATAACAGGTTTTTAATAACATTATGGGGACATTTGGCCCCCACAAAGTAATATATACATGATCCACACACACATACACACACAACCTAATAAATATTGAGAATAACCATCCATCCATTCATCAAACTGCTTCTCTTGGTCATAGCATGAGGGAATTTTACATTTTCAAAGTTTAGAAAATAGCAGGTTTCTGAAAAGGTTTGTGTACAGGAGCTGAAATGGGGTAAATATTGACAAAAAAATTATCTCCATTCGTCCAAGACTGCCGACACGCACTTTGGACCCCTGATTAGTGATGTGGGGTCATGTGATTCCAGCTCCTGGTCACCCATAGCGAATGCGGCAAAGAGACGGCAAGCAGAGTCGGGCGTGAAGAGCCTCACCCAATTAGCCACATCATCACGATAACATCATAGGCCGGCACAGCACAGCCCTGAAAGAACAGAGCTGTGGATAGGAGGACAAAACGGAGAGGAGAACAAAGCGAGGAGCTTCCTCTGTGGGATATTGCGGGAGGCGACATCATCTGCACCGTCCATTTCGAAGTAGAGGGACGTGAAACAATGACTTAAGTCTCGGGTCATTTTTGGTGGCGACGCTGGAACTACTGTCAGATTCTCATGACAAATACGCCCATCTGGCCGGAACACAGTCAGCTCAGGAACCGCGGTGCCCAAGCCGCCCCTCTGCTGTTTGCTCAGCCGCTGATTAACAGCTCCTGCTTTGAGGCGTCGTTAATAATTTACAGCCGCTCGACGCAATCAACGGCTGCCAGCATGAAGCAATCATGAAAAGGTGATCTCCCGCAGGGCGCCTGCCGGGGCAGCTTTGGGGCAGGAAATGACGGAAATGGTCCCTCAAACATTTAACTGAAGAAACAGCCGACGTGTTCTGTAACGCATGAAATGCATTGTGACACGCTGAATGTGCGCGCTGAACCTAAATCCCATATTGCCAATATCACAAAATTAAATAAAACAATTAAATAAAACAAATTAAACAATTTTACTGCACACATCAGTGCATGATCTTGCCACCTACAAAAAGATCTTCCAAAGACGTTTTCTTGATAAGTTCTATTGTGCAACGACATACTTTGCTTGTTCTGTACATCAGCTTCAGTGATGATTTAACACTATATATTACAGTTTCTGCTGCAGGCCAATAGGCTATGTGACACGTGTCAATTTGGGCCCATTTACCCAAGGTGCCTTTTGGGTGATGCAGTATCAGGAAGGATGATGACACAGGTGGGCAGGAAGTGGTTACTGATTAACAGCCTCGATAAACAGCAGCTGGATAAGGACAGAAGACTGTCCAAAGGAGGATTGTAGATGTTATATCCGTAATGATGCTTCTACACTCACTTTAAAATTTTTTAATTACTAAAATTCAATAAACAATTCTTAAAAAAAGAGGCAGGAATTAGGGGTAATCATGCCAAATTTTAATGAATGTGTCTGGATTCTGCTTTTCCTGGCACTGCAGATTTTGGTGGGCACTGCAGGGTTTGCAGCACAGATTAGAAGGGAACATCTCATCTAAAAGGGCCTAACTACACAGCTGTGTGCATGTCCAGCCTGAGAGATGCATACCAAGGCGCTTGTGTGCGTCAATTACCAGACAGACATTCACCATGGATCCTAATAGACGGACTTAACTTGGCAGCTATTGGCTGGGCTGCAATTAGCCCAGATGCATTTCGTTCACAATACCGAGCTCAGTCCTGGATTTGTGAGCTTAAGTCTTTATTAGGATGGGTGGTATGATGGTATTACGGCATACCCAGATATTTAGAAATCCCAAAGGTATTATTTTTAATAGACGCTCCTCTTTCTATGAAGCTGATATGCACAGTGTTAACTATGATTGGAGGCTCACAAGTTATATTTTTTTAAAAAAGTCAAAGAATTATGCGCATGCACATGTTAAGGCCACAAAAACAAAGCATGCAGCATGCACAGTACATGTCAATCTTAGTGCGCATGCGACCACAGATTGGGCAGTGACAGGTAGTTTTTGAAGAGTTGTCTCCTTGTTTCCGTAGTGCTCAGCTTCTATACTGATGATCCTGTTTTTTTTGGAGTTTACGGTTGCCTACATGATTTTATTTATTTATTTATTTTTAAATGCTGTCATATGCCATATACCAGGGTGAAATGTTTAGGCTAACCCTCTCCCTCACAATCACGTGTAAGATAATTCTACAGTAATTCCAGAGCTCGACAGTAAGGTGATGGAGCAAAACTGTTTGGGTACAGATCCATTAACTCAACAGTGATGAGGCCTTACTGCTTTAAGTCTGTTTTACCTGCAGCCTTGGGTTTTCTGTTATGTTTCAGAAGGCAGACAGATTACAGACAAAACAGAACAGACTGAAAAATATTTGTAAACTCATTTACATAATAAATTAAATATTCGCATGAAATTATCTGTCTTTATGTCTGCAAATCAGAGATTCTTTGGCCGTCTGGCACCAAGCTTACATTCCACAAGCTGCTTCTAATTCACTGTAATGGGAACAAGAGCCACACTTATCGATAACTGCAAAACACTAATTAAGGGCAGACAGCAGTTTTGGCTGTGCAGGATTGAAGGGAAGTAGCTCTGATCTCACAAGGCAGACAGACCAGACCAGCCCATCTGGATCAGGCTGCTGAAACAGATCCGGTCACGTGTGGACCCCGGCCGTGTTCGGTACTCTGAGGTGGGACAGAGGAGGAGATAACTGGTCATCGGCCACCAAACAGTCCCTACTGCTCCATCTAGATTTATTTGGCAGAAACTGGGGGTTAAGGGCCCTTGCTCAAGAGCCCAACGGTGACATCACTCTCCTGACCCCTGGGATTTGAACCAGTGACCTTCCAATCACAGGCACAGAGTCCTAACCCGCTAAGCCACACACACACACCACTCCCAGACGTGTGTGTCCAGGTGGCCACAGCAGGAAGAGTCATGACCATTCCCCACTAACACCAACCTCCAGGGCGGACTCAACCAGGGACACGTATGGAAAACGGTCCAGAGCAGCAGGTTCAGAAGCTACTCATAACTCTGGACCTCAGATGGTCCCCGTGTACCCTGTCACAAATACCCAGCACACATCTGCTGTACGGGAACTCAAGGACGACCAGTGGATCAAACACAACACTCCCCTCCCCTCCCCCCCAAGGAGACCAAACGCAAAAAGAAAATGACTGATTTGGGCAGGGGTGATGAAAGAGTAGGAAAGGAGAACAAAAAAGCCAACATGGGCTCTTTGATCAGAAGATTGTTGTAAAAATCCCCAGAAGAGGAGCGTGAGGGAAGCGTGAAAGGCAACAGACTGTCCTCGTGTCTGGGCCGCCGAGGGGGTGTCCATCTGTGCGGCTCGACACCCTGCACCCTCCTGATGGGAGACTGAGTCACACACAGCAGAAGGGCCAACCAAACAAGCTCCCTGGGCCTGAGGTCGCCTCCACCCCCCCACCTGAGGCAGACGTCATGGGGGCTTTTTCCGATGCCACCGACTCGCAGTTAATATTTTAAAAAAAAAAAAGCTCATCCCTATTCATGCCAAAGTAGCTGCATTTATTTGGACCTGGGACACATCAGGAGTAACTAAGCACTGCGCTAATCCAAAGATGTCACAACGGGGGCTCGACAGAAGATGGTCCACCTCTAAATCGCGTTATCTGGAAGCAGTTAATTAAGAGAACTGATGACAATAAGTTCAACCAAGTTTTACTTGGGTCTTAGGGGATAATGCTTTAATAACCATCTGAGATGTCTCAGGGCGAGACAGAACAAACACGTGACAGACGGGTAGGAACAGAGGGAGGATACAGACAAAAATCGGCAGAATGAACACAGATTACCGTTTAGGCGTCAACACAAACGGCAATAAATGGATAGAGTCCTTTTTGGCTTCGTTTTGCCCAGTGATGATGAAAATACAGCAGGACTTTATACAGCTGTAAATGAGGAACAGGTGAAATGATCAAATCTCCTCATGTCGTCACCAAATCCCTTTCAAGC